CCCAGGTCAGAATCGATCTTCACGGTCCGATGGAACCACTCCCGGGCCTTGGTTATTTTGCGTTCGCTCCAGAACAACCTGCAGAGGAGGAGGAGGAGGAGGAGGAGGAAGGAGAAGACAAGCTAAGGAGACCAGGAACATCTTTCTGGTCAAAACAGAGTCTTGAGGAGGGACGACCGTTTGTCTGGGATGCTATAAGGTCTCCTGCCTTGAGCAAGGGGTTGGAATAGATGACCTCCAGGGACCCTCCCAGCCCTAGGATTCTACGAAGATGGAGAATGGAATCTTTCTGTATAAGAGAACACGTAGCAGCCGTACAAGCGGTCCTCGACTTAAAACCATTCCTTTAGCAACCACTCAAAGTTACAACAACATGGGAAAAAGTGACCTGTGTCCGGTCCTCACACTTACGACCATCATAGCATTCTCCCCTGTCATGCAATCAATGTTTGGGTGCTTGGCAACCAGCACGCGTTTAGGGCAGTTGCAGCATCCCAGGGTCCTGGGATTGCCATTTGCAACCCGGCTTCCATCAAGCAAAGTCAATGAGGGAAGCCGGATCTGCTTAACGACCGTGAGACCCGCTTAACAACTGCAGCGATTCACTTAACAACCGTGAGCAAAAAAAAAAATGTTGTAAAAACTGGGCACAATTAACAACCAGCCCTTGCTTTGGCCACAGAAATTCCGGTCCCAGCTGCGTTCGTTAAGTCGAGGACTATCTATATACAAATCTTATACGTATATAAATAAATTCATTCTCTGATACAGCGTGGAAATCTAACCAAAGCAGTTTCAGTTTTTGGCCTAATGTCATGGTTCCGACAGATGAAACTCTTCAAAAGAACTTCGGGGCGTTGTTTACCTTAAAGAATATTTTATTCGAGTAGCACAATATCGGCACCGCACAATCGAAGCCAAAAACTGAATTCCCCTCCCCTGAGCACATAGTATCAAAGCACAATTCCCTCCTCCAATTAACAGTCATAAATCACATTCCCCAATTAGCTTGAAACGCAGGCTTCCTCTCTAGTTTTCCAGCCCACAATTCCTTATCAGCTCTGGTTACAGTAACCTTGTTTCTCACACTAGGTCTAGAGTTGTTATGTCTAGCTGGACTCTCGCTCACATCCCCCCCTCCCAGCATCATCTAACTCTAAAAGCAAAAGGTAAAAGATGGCTACATTTCCATCTGTTGTCAATGCAAAAACATCCGACGTTCGCAGCGTCGACACCAGAGACTCTTAAGCGCCACTGAGAAAAACGACCAGGAGCGTGGCCTTGATTCTAAAATGTCCAGCTTTCCCTGCTGGTGGTTATCCGTTCTGAAATATTCCTTTTTAAAATAATTCCCTCAATCAGAATAGCTGCCTCCATGCTCTTTTACAGGGACGCATTCTGCATAGCAGCACAGAGGCTCAGTCGAGACCCAGGGATTTCCAGTTCTTGACATTTCATAAAAAGGCCGTCTGGCAGATCAAGCTGTTCCACCGTACATGTTTATGGTCTAGTAAACACGATTTTGGGATGGAGGGGGGTGGGAGAAGACTGATTCCTTCAATTGCTTAAAGGGGAGGGGGGAGAATGTTATTTGAAAAATGTGCAGGTCTTCGAACCGAGAGTTTGCTGAAAGCTGAGACTTGTGCTTGTTGTTGTTAGTTGCGAAGTCGTGTCTGACCCATCGCGACCCCATGGACCACGTTCCTCCAGGCCTTCCTGTCCTCTACCATCTTCTGGAGTCCATTGAAGCTCACGCCTACTGCTTCAGTGACTCCATCCAGCCACCTCCTTCTCTGTCGTCCCCTTGTTCTC